TTGTGTTGGGAAGGTGAGCATCATAGAATGCCAATTTAATAGAACAAAGTATTCTTGCAATGAGGGAGTACTTGAGTGGAGGCCCAATGTCCTTCTGCTACCTTAATACTAAACCTATTGTGGATTAGGTGAAGGTTTATAGGGCAGATCAATTTTTCATTCAACAATTCATACGCATTTTAGTCCTGATCATTGATGTCAGTCCTGCCAATGTGGCATCCCTAGTCCCACTTCCTCCCACTGTTTCCTGTTTCCCCTGCTCCTTCTCTCCTCACCCTTCTCCATGATGTCCTTGGGTAAACGGTGCCCTTTTGATCTCAAATGGTTGATTATTCTAAGATATGCCTCCCAAGTGTTTATTTGCCCCCCCCCTCACAGATCTATTGTTTGTCTGGAAATGGAGCTATTGGGAGTGAGTTCATTTCTAGATCTGAAGGGTGACCAAGTCTTAGGTGACTTTCAAATATACTGGGATCAATAAATGTGTCCCACATACTTTAGTGATTCCTATTCTCTCTCACTCTTAAGATTCTGACCAGGAGGAGACCTTGGGAGAGACTTGAACTGAGTGAGCAGCACCCTGACAGTAGCAAGGGATGTCTGAGACCCTGCTGGTGCTCAGAGAGAGGCGGGCTGGGAAGAGATACCTTACTGACAGCCTGGGGAGACTATGATTTGACTCTGCCTCCGAGTTAGGAGGGCTGTCTAGAGAGAGACCACACTCCCCTTCTCTTATCCCATCCCTTAGGGTTGTTGTAGAGTTATGTGGGCAGCAGGTAATAGTAGCATTGGTAGTGAAGGACCTGTCTATGGGTCACACAGGCTTCTCTGGGGCCATGGGCGACTTTCAGAATCTGATTTGCTGCCAAGAATTTATCTGGCAGAAGAGAACTCAGTAGCTAATGGCATTTTCCAGTTCTACTGTGAAACCACTTCCATTCATGGTCAACTGTTGCTCTTCCACCTGCATGGTCCTGTGACACACCTTAGCAGCAGGAAAGCTGGTAGGAGTCAAAAGGGGGCCTTCAGTCCCTCGGTGGGGAGGGTCATGTGGAACTGAGCTGACCTGGTCACAAATGCCAGCCCAGAAAGGGCCACCTCTTGGAATGTTGGTTTAGATAAGAGAGGCACTTGGCCCATGCTCTTTAATATGACTCTTTGCAGCTAATGCCTTGGGTTGGGTGCTAGGGGGGAAGTAGTGTCAAGACTCTGAAATCAGTGGAAGTGATCAGGGAGGTGTGTTCTCTGCCAGGAGAACGTGGTGTGTTGCCAGGGACTGCTGACTGGTGTCCAACTGTAATGGTGGTTCTGTTCATGTTCTTTCCTGTTCTATCAGGCTGTGCCTCATGTACACTGACCCTGTGTTGTCAGCTGTGCACATATTTAGGGTTGCGGTGTCTTTTTGGAGAGTTGACTTCTTTATGAATATATAAATATATATAATGCCCTTCTTTCTCTTGGATAACATTCTTTGTTCTGCAGTGTACTTTGTCTGAAATTAAAATAGCTCCTTCAGCTTTCTTTTGATCAGTGTCAGCATGGTCTGTTTTTATTCCCTTATTTCTTAAAGGCAAATAAAGGTTGATTTTGAACATGGCTTGATTCCTTGTTGCCCTGTGATTGACAATTACCTGGGCATCTGAGCTACATTTCGACTTCTTATACCACTGAGCTGCTGGCGGTGTGCACAATCCTCCCAGCCTGTTTCTGGAACAGAGGAGGCATACGAGGACGAGCTTTGGGGTTTAGGACACCTGCTGTAATTCCAAGATTTTCATCAGAAAGTGCTTGGAGGTAAGGGGTGGGCCCCAGAAAGGACCCTTTGCATAGCCACCAGGACATTCAAACGTGAGACCGCAAGAAGGTGTAACTGGATCATGTTCTTGCCACCTCTCAACTGTTCCTCTTCTCTCCTCTTCACACCCATGTCTTCAGAGTAGCTTTAACATTTTTTTTTCTTTCTGAACACCTTTTGCTTACGTAACTGTCCCCCCTCCCCATGAAATGGAAGTAGGTGATGTTCGTTTTATCTTGTTGCATTGTATTTTGGCACCACAATGGCTTGCATTGTAAACATTTTTATTTTCAATAAGAATGTCTTGTGCAAAAATATAAACTAATTTCACTATTGGCATATCTAATTCCTACTTGAAATGTGTGCATTCAAACCGCCTGGGGCCTAGAGAGGCTGATGGACCAATCTCGGGCAGGGAAAAGGGGATAGCAGAAGCCAGAAGCTTCCTGAGCCCAGGTGGAGGTCCCCAGCAGCTGCCACCAATCCGGAAGAAAGGAAACACAGACCCAGAAGATCATTTGCCATTATAGAGATATTTATTTCCCCTTTTTCTATTTACAAGAGTTTATCTGAGTGTACTTGTCAGAAGTGAGATCTTGGTCATGTGTTACGTTTGGGGGTCGGGAGTGGTCAAGGTCTGCCTTGCTGCTAGTGAACGAATATACTGAAAGATGCCACAGAGGGCCCTTTGTGGGTCAGGATGTCCACGACATTTGCGTGTTGATCTTCCCGCTCTTTTCTGGGCTTTCGCTGCCCAGCATCTGTGCGTGTGCGTGTTCTTATGGAACCATCTGGCTCCCGAACTATACTGCCTCGGTCCCAAGCTTTCTTCAGAGGGAGCTGGGACCAGGGAGACAGTGAGAAGGTGGCACCTGATGTCCAGTCCCACAGCCAGCCGCACTGCACTTGAACACCTTCAGCTCTGTGAATGACACCTGGCCCAGGGGATGCAGCAAAGTGCCGCGTCAATCAAACCGATCGAGGGGACCTTGACTGAGCAGGGGGATTTCATAGTTGGAGTGTATCTGGGAGATACTTTAACACCCTCCCTCCCACCCTACCCGAAAATTCAACACTAATAATATAGATTTTGTATTGATCACAAGACACGCTACAAGAGACACGGACACACTGCACTACCAAGTGGGACAAGTCACAAATCCCTTTGATACTGGGCTGTGGAGGACTGAGGTGACAGTTCCCCACTGAAGGGTACCATGCAGGTGGGTCGCTTAGTGAATGCACTCATTAGTTAATAGCTCAAAGGGCTAGGTCTTTATATACAGAGTAAGGAAATCTCATTAGAGTGGCCATAGCCTCAGCAAAACTCGGTATGGAATATGTGAAGACTTGGCAGCCTCGCTATTCAGAAGATGACACAAATTCTAAGAGTACATTTGGCAAGCTTCATCAGGACCCACTGGCTGGTGTGGCACCTTTGCAAAGGCACCCAGAGTGGCCAATGGGATGGGCAAGAACTTGGTAGGAACAGGTCACCCATGCCCATGACAAACACCACTTTGGACATGGACCCCAGGCATTCTACCCGTGGGAGGGGTGGAGAAGGGTGTCTGGGGTGACTGTCAGCGGTGGCACCCAGGTCCGGGAACCAATGGGATGGTTGGCAGAGGAGGGACATGGGGATTGATCGCGCCATTCCAGAACTACAAGCCTCTTCCCACCTGTCACCTTTTGCAGGAGGGTCAAGCCTCATACGGTTTCCACTCCAAAGGCATTTCTAGCACAGCACTCTGGCTGGGGCAGGAGTCTCCTGCCAGGCGCTCTGCCCTTCCAGAGCCTGTCTGTGTGTAGGGATGAGGTAGGGGTATGGGCAGCTAACTGGAGTGGGGATGAGGACAAGGGAGGATGGGGCGTCACAAAGTAGACAACACAGCACACAGAACACAAGGGGAGATGTGGCAATTTTCAGGTTCAGAAGACCAACTCCCTGGCTACCTCAAAAGGTTCAAATCCTTTGAAATGGTGTCATTGCCAAACCTCCACCTCACCTTGACACTGAACCTGACAAGAGTGGGAATTTCACTAGAGCTCAGCCGCAGCACTTAGGGCTCGATATTCTTGTAAGTTAGACTACTCTATCTAGCTATGTTGAATCTAGAGATTATGTACAACCGGCCTTCTTCCTCTCTTCTGTGCACTGCTGCCAGATGCATTGTAAACCCTCTGTGCTGGTCACCGTGGGCGCCCCCCCCCATATGACCTTATTCCCCACAAACTGCCTCTCATATGATCCCCTGGACCCCTAATATAGGCTTGAAGCCCCTCTAGGATCTTGGAGACTGAAATCCAAACCCACTCACCCACCACTGTCTAGGCCTCCGAAGTCAGCCTTTTAGGGGCATGCGGAGCGTTCCTAATGTGGTCACTGCTTTTCCTCCTAGACTGTATCTGTGAGGGATCCCGAACGGGGCCACCGTTGGCATTGCAGTGGTGGTGCCTTTGCTTTTCAGAAGGTGGCTTCCAAGATCTGTCTGTGTGTGTGACTGTGAGCAGACCTGTGAGCATGTGTGAGTGAGCAAGGGTGTGCGCTGAAGAGACAGCAACGTGGGGGAATCCTCAGAGCTTCCTTCCCCCTTGTCTCTTCTCCAACAGCCATCCCAGGATGGGCCACAAAAGCACCCTGCCCAACAGACCAGCCCCTGCAGCCTGCATTTCCTAGGCACCGCTGTTCCTCTCCCTCCGGCCCTTAGGCCCTTGCATTACATCACTCACCTGTCTACGGCTGCTGGCTGCTACCAGCTTCCACAGGGGTGAGGCCTACAAGGCACTGAGATAAAAGGATAAGCTATACAGACTATATACAACTCCTTGGTGCTTCTCTAGCTGTCCCACTCGGGCTCAGCCACTGGACACAGCACGCGGCTCTGCAGCCCCATCAACGAAGCTCTGCTGGCACCTGCCTAGAACTGCCTCCGCTACCTGTGTCGCTGATCCCGCAGGGACCACCTGGTGCAGCCTCCCCGCTGCTGCCACCTGCAACCACACAGCCTGCACTGCCCAGCTCTTCTATCCGGAGACTGGATGGGTGTGTGGCGGAATGGCAGAGAAGTGGGGTGAGGGGGCTTGAGACACTGCTCCCTTTAACTGCCCCCTCCAGAAAAGGGACCCTTCCTGAGAACAGGCTTGGAATGGCAGTGGTTCTGGAGGGTGCCACTAATGGGGGCAGCAGTTGCTCTGCAGGGTATTTCCTTTCACACCCCTTCCTGCTAGAGAAACCACCATGGGGAACACACGTGCACTCATGATCAGTCCCCCACCCCACCCTCCCTCATGGGCTATGTCCAAGTAGAGCTACATAAGCCACACGTTTGCATCTGCTCCCACGGGCTGTGCACTCGTACACTTGCGCCCACACCGTGTTCTATATACACTCTGACACATCGACATCGATATACATAGAGCTGTACAGCGTTGCGAAGGGCACAGACACTTAGGTGCACAAAAGGACATGGACACGGTCACACAGACACGAGGACAGGCGAGAAGGGGCGCTGGGGTGCTGCCGAGGGAGGCGGGGGAGACTGTCAGTGGAAGTGCAGGCCGGTTCTACTGCCTGAGAGCCCTCCACCCATCGGCTGGCTTGGCGCTGCCTCCGGGGCCTGGTTGGTGCATCCCCTTTGGGAATTAGGAGGAGGAGCAAGTGAGGGGCCTCCCCCACTCACGGCTGCGTGTCCTCAAATGTGAAGCAGTGGGGATAGTGGGCTTCTATGACAGTCCAGCGAAGGGGCAGGTCAGCGAGCTCGATGGCACTTACTAGACAAATCAAAAAGGTTAGTAGAGGGATTCCGGACAATTGTCCAATTACTCTCCTAGCTCAGGCTTCCTCTGCGACCAGGGACCAGCGCAGCGGGGACAGAGCTGACTGAGGGAGACAGAGGCAGGGCTCCCTCCTGGTAGCATTTGGAAGCTGAGAGAGAGCTCCAATGCTTCTCCTAGTTTCTGGGACCCGCTAGAAGCCTGCTCTCTCACATTCCCTGACATCTCCCTCTGTACCTCCAACTCCCCACACCCCTCAATGCCACACTCCAAACAGAACAAGGGGTGGGGAATGGGGAAAGGCACTTACAACTGTCCCCGGTAGTTCTGACAGCCAGCTCACTGTCTTTCCAAGCCTGGCCAGTCGTTTCCCTGGGGTCCCCTAGCCCAACCCAGCCCAAGTCTCCCATAAAGCCCGGAGCAGGAGGTGGGAAGGGGCCTAGGGGGTGAGCACAGAGGAAGTAAAGTAATGAAAAAGGCAGTTGGACACCTCAGAGGGACAGAGAAGCCCTCAGAAATGTGTCACATCCATTTTCTGCCTGCCAACCTGTTTCTTGTGGTCCTCTGAACATTTCTTGGGACTTTTCTGAGCTTCCTGGCAGTAGAAAGCTTTGCAAAGGGAAACTGCTTCTGGCAGGAAAGAGAATAGTGTTCTATCTGCTCCTAGCTCCCCTCCACACCCTTCCTTTGCAGCCAAGGACTCCCCACCCCCTATGCCTGCCCAGGGAATAGCAGAGGGAGGGGTTGGACTCAGGAAAAGAAGCAACAGTGGGGCCCAAGGGAGCCGTGTTGGGTGCAGAGCTGGGCTCCCCTGCATGGGCCAGGCGCTGGGGGTCTAGTTGATATGGTAGGCCCAGTAGGCAATATTAAACAGCCCAAAGGCCAGAGGGAAGAGGAAGCGGGACCACTGGTCAACCTTAGGGACGTAATCGGGATTGAAGAGCTTAAAGGAGAGCTCTCCGTGGAAGGAGCAGCCCAGGCTCAGGGGGTGACTGTCGCCAGACTCGGAGTCGCTATCCTCCTCTTGAACACAGACCAGGATCTCCTCCTCCTCTAGGCTCAAGACTCCATCATCACCACCCTGGGGATTCTCATCTGGGGAAGAGCAGCCACTCTCGACACTGGCATCATCGGGCAGGCTGCAGAGCTCATCCAGGTCCCCACTCACTACTTGCACGCACCGCGGGCCACTGCCGAGCAGAGGCTGCTCAGCAGCGCCCTGGCTCTCATCCGAGCTGGAGCTGTCATCCAGATCATCCTGGCTGCGGGCCTCGGCACGGTTGCGGATGTCGGACAGGACGTCATAGAGGAGCAGGGCCTGCGCCGAGCTAGAGGAGAGCTCGTCGAGGCTCTCCTCGGAGCTCTGGCTGGACGAGGAGCAGAGGGAGCTGAGGCTTTCTGAGGAGGCCAGCCGGGCTCGCTCTGGTGAGGAGGACAGAGAACTGAAGCTCTCAGGACTTGCCAGGCGGGCCAGAGCAGGGACAGAGAGGAGAGAGTTGATGTCGTCTTCCATACTGGTCAGCTCTCCATCTGGGGAAGCAAAACCCAGAGCCATTAAGATCCAACTGCCCGACGGGGCAGGGCAAGGGGCTGCAGGGAGAGGGCGTGGATGTTCACCATCATCCTCGGCACCAGGCTGGCAGGTCTCCCCGGCACTTTCAGTGTCATCGTTGTTGTCGTTGTTGTTGTCGTCGTCATCGTCAGTCTCTTTGACAAACTCCACCATCTCCTCCTGGGGACTCTGGGGCACAGGGGGCTGAGGAGTGGAACGAGAAGGTGGTTATCTTTCTAGGGAAGGCCACAGTGGCCATCCAGCCCATGTCTCCCGGTGGCCAGCCCTCTCCTCTGCAGCACGTGTGTGTGTGTGTGTGTGTGTGTGTGTGTGTGTGTGAAGCCTGCTCAGGCAAGTGGGGCTGTGGGATATGAATGTACCACCCGCAGCCAAAGCCTCAGTGTGGCCTTGGCTTTGGCAGTTGAAACTGCTAAGGATAAAGGGGTAGGCTGGCCAGTCTCTCTGGGGTCTATCTCTTCCATTCAGCCTCCTTGTCACACCCACCCCCACGCCCCTGCCAGTAGCACGCCAAGTGGACTACGCTTGAAGTCCCAAGTCTCAAGGTCTGGGAACCTGCCATGTCCTAGCTCTGTGACTTTGGATAGTGCCTCTTTCAGAAAGGAGTCAGCACCCCTCCC